ACATTCTAATATACAGAAACATGAGCTGCTGGTCTGAGTAAAATACTTTTTTAGGGGGGAATGTGAAGATTACTGTCGTCTGGTAAGTGACGCCGTGTAGTCTGGTAGATAGGTATCAACGTTTCGGAAGAAACTGCGGTTTCTTCTACCCGGAGTACGATGGCAAGAAGTTTCCCGCCCCCAAAACACCTATGTCACTCTATCAAACTACACGGCGTCATATCCCACATGATAGTGGGTCCAATATTCAAGCTTCTGTAAGAAGGCACGAAGTTCAAGGGGACAGGCTTTGATGTGGTAAGCAAGGCATTCTTGGAATAATTCCGAAGCGTGGGTATGCTGCAGGATGCGTGCCTAGCAGGGGAAGTTTCTCGAGCTGCGTTCACGGTCTGTCTCCTCACGGCCGCCATGTTATTGGCTCCCATGAACTACAAAATGGCATCAAGAAAGGTGCCGTCTCAACAGGTGGGCCCCGATCACCTAGAACGTCTCCCGCTCGCGTGACGCTCATTGTTGCGTGAGGCGCCCCTCGGATTCTTCAGCACTCGTTTGAAAATAGTTCCACTTTGCATGACAAAGCTGTCGAAAACTCAAATAGCAATAAGAATACAACGCAGTAAATCAAGAAGTTAAATGAGGGACAGGCCTGTTTCGTGTGGAGCAGCATGTCGGGGGGGGGGAGGGGAGAGAGGGGGAACACTGCGTGGTTTTGCTATTTTACAAACTCTGCAGTTGGTACGGAGTTTCTCAATAAGGAAAGAAAGCAGAATGGGCAAACAGGAAGAAACCAATTTCGAGATCTGCAGATCTGATGGCGGTGAGTATAAACATTACCGCCTTCTGTGTTGTGACGCCGTGTAGTCTGGTAAGTCGTTACCAACATGTCAGAGCAGAGGAAGCTGGCAGTGAATTCCTCCGAAACGTAACGCCACTCTGTCTGCGCACTACACAGCGTTACTCAGATAATCTCGCAGCAAGTTTCGTTAGCAGGTTCAGCACGTTTCACAAAACCGGGAAGAAAGGCCCTTTACTTGAACAGTTGCCATAATATCACAGTTCTGCTGTCGGAATTGCCCCATATTGCATCCCAAATCGTGACAGTAGAATTATCGATCCGTTTCGAGTATTAATCGACTGCTATCCGTCAGCATTTGGGACGGAATTAAAGTGAGAACTTGAAAGTGAGAAAACAGCTTACAAAGACCGTTTGTTCTGTGGCTCGTGCGCAGAGTAGGAAATGCTCTGCTGCAGATATTAAGCATGAGACTGCATGATAAGATAAGCAGAAGGAGGGGACCTACTGTGGCAGAACTGGAGGGCCTAGAGAGCACGGCGGGCTAGCGGCTGAGTTCTCACGCGAAGACGGGCTTCGAGACGTTCGGTGCTTTACTTCTGCCACTTTTCCATCAACACAACTAACAGCGGCAGCAGTACGAACATGTGAGGTGCAACAGACATTTGAAAAGTTTCGAAAATAATTAAGCTATTAATATTGGAAATTGCTGTATCCGATTACTCGAAGACTTCTGCGGTAACTTGCTGCACACATAGTTCTAAACAGTAAGAGCAAGCAAGCCTACTGCTACTAGACAATATCTGAGTGAGTCCTGGAGGTGTATGTAGCTTCCCTCACTGTGGGCTGCCCCTCCTGCCTTCCAGACTCAGTCAGTCAACTCAACCGGCTCCATTTGACAACCCGTTTCTGTAATGAAATCTTCGAAAGTGTGTGTGGCAATGTTCAATGTTCGGCAGAGACTCTAACAAATCGAATTTGCATTAGCGCAGAAATCAAGAGCGGGTAAAATCAGTGGATGTCTGCCTTCATTCAGTGCAGAATCCCTTGTCTTCCCATCTGTTAACTAAAAGCACAAAAATATTAATATAGTCAAATCCATAATGTTACCTGTTGTTTTGTATGGGTAAACCGCAGTAAGAGAGGAACACAGATGAAAAATATTTGAGAAGAGGGTGCGCAGGGAGGTAATTGGATCTAAGGAGGCGGAAGATTTGCCAGTGAGGATTTCGTAATTTTTACCGTTCATTAAAAAGGGGGAGGACGCCAAATACTGGCTATCTTTTGTTTTTCTTTCATAACCAGAAATGGAGAAAAGTGGGAAATACAGTACATACATTTCCTTACGTAAGGGAAATACATAATCTTCGGCTTTTGGAAAACGTATGTGTTTTTGAAAATTAATAAGTATATATTTTGGTGATATTACAAACCATGGGTCCAAGTACCGCCTGCATGAAATTTCAAGGCTTTTCACTGCATGTTTTCTTGTCTTGTTCGCCATTTGCACAGCGACGAAAAAAGCATTATAAGCATTAGCATATGACGAAACCACAACAAAATTAAGAAAAAAAAAAGTAAAAGTTCCATCGCTGTTTTTTTTTGGGGGGGTGGTTGTTTAGCTACATCCGACTGTCAAATATGGAACACATCACCTCCAACAAGGAGCCGGGATAGCGCAGTCAGTACAGCGACTAGCTACCGGCTGGACAACAAAGGGGTAGGAGTTCGAGTCCTAGTAGGGTCAAGAATTTTCTCTTCTCCACGTCGTCCACACCGGCTCTGGGGTCCACCCAGCATCCTATCCAATTGGTACCGGGAGCTCTTTCTCGGAGGTAAAGCGGCAGGGGCGTGAAGCTGACCGCTCACCTCCATCTGGTGCCGAGGTCAAGAACACGTGGATCTATATATCAACTCTCCCATACGCCTTCATGGCGTAGTGCTTAAGTAGTTAAGCACAGGGACAACTTTCATCACCTACAGCAAACAACGCGTCCAAATGCTAGCACTGACATCAGCAGATTTTCTTACGTCTAGTTAATAACCATCCTCAGTTATGTGATCGAAGCTATAACTTGTATAAGGAAAACAGGTTTTCAGTAAAATTCGATTTCACGACAAAACCAAGCACCAAATTTCCACAGCCCCTTCACAGACCGGCAATGGCTTCCCAGTGACAGGCAGGGCGCTACTCCTACCGGCTCCACGCGGTGACTTCCGTCCAGTGGTGGGCTCTTTCGAACACGGCAGAAAATTTCTTAAGTAGTACAGCCACTATCAGCTTCTCAGTGAGGTCTCCGCTCCATGAAGTTAGTAAGTTTGCATCCCGAAGGGAAAAATGAACTGTTTGCTTCAGGCAGACACAATTTGTTAGTTAGGACCGTAACTGGCCACGGCCCAGCCAAGCATTGGCACAGCTGGGCATCTGACTGTATCTTGAAACGATGATATATGAAAAAGGAGCGAAGTATGCATTCCGTCTGTAACTGCAAGGAGCACTCTGCTCCTGTCACTCAGCTCCGCAAGAGCCCGCCGTAGGTTCCCGTCCTGACGAATCCAGTCTACCTCCGCACACCTTACAAGTCTCCGTATGATTTTTAGTAATACGCCACATCGCCTCCCGCGTGCCCCCCCCTTTACCACCTTCGCCTAGGTCCCCGCAAGGAGCCTCCTCCCTTCTGTGTTTCCCGCTAAATTTCGCATAGTTTTTTAATTTGACGTCCGCATGTTCTGTGCCCAGCTCATTTGGCCAATCCAAAAACATTTTGCGAACAATATACAAATTATGGAACCAACTGTTATGCAATGCTCTCCAAGTTTCTAGTGTTTCCTGTGTTATGAGGTGCCTTCGGCTTCGCGCCCAAACAAACGCAACTCATCACGTCCAGATGCTTCAGAACTGCTTGCGGAACGTTCACCCGCATTCTCATCATCGCGGGAAGAAGAGTGGACGTAAATGTCTCGCGACTTTCTGGAACCCAATGCTCGAGTTCGAAAGAGGCCACACGATATCCTAGACATAAAGATGGTTTCTGAGGCTAAATTTTGCTTTATAGATTCGAACTTGAAAAAAAATTTTCTGATCAAGGATGGAAAATTCATGGGACAGAACAATGGAATTCGGCCTGTATGGTCATGTCAGTTCCAGTGACACAAGGTTCATATCGCTTTGTCCGAGTCCTCTGAAACCCACCACGATTAGTGCGCGTTCTCCACTGAAATTAGAAGCGAAATGCAGCCCGCGTTACATGTGTCCCAGAGCGCTCTACCAGCAGAACACTTCTTCACTGCCCTGAGCAGCGTATACGGACACTTTAACCAAAGCGGGGATGGGGACTTGAGTCCCCAGTGTAAGCCGCTATCGTATTTAAACGTATACAGGATTTGTGGAGTACTAGCCCTATCTTCTGAGATGTATCACCGTGCAGCCCGACATAAGTCCACAAAAATTTCGGGTGGATGTAATGCCACCATCATCAAGGTCAATGTATAAGCCGAGCAAGAAACCACCAAGAACCAGGCGGAAAAGCAGTATACTATGTTCCTACAGGTTCCCTACAATTCCTTACTCTATTTTCTCACCATCCAAGATCGCCCTAACTTCTCACTCGTCTCTTTAAAACCTCTGCAACTGAAACACCGTCGTTAAATAACATGACAAACAACATACCAATTGTTGATATTATCTCTTCGACTGTGACGGAACCATTAGGGCATAAACTGTCACGAGTCAGCATCACTTTGTTAAGACACAACTTACTAGTCAGCTCTATGCTCGCATCTATGCCTAGATCTCCCAAGTTATTCCTTTCCTTGCCAAACTAAGCTCATGCTTCGCCCTAACAACATAAATTCTTCCTCCTGTCCCCTGTCACGTTGTTCTCAAACTGTGCCACACAGCCCGTAGACTGAAGTTCTGCACGTTTTCAGTGAGCAACTGGAATGCACCAAAGTGTGAAATGACCGCGCGGTCAGACCAGCAGCTCGAGAAAAAGAAACATCACCATTCTGTGAGGGTCAATGCTACTGAGCAATTGGGGGGGGGGACGATTGTGATGATCACAAATTGTGTTACATAATAGATTAACAAAAAATAAAATAAATAAACGAATAAAATGGTCAAAATAAACATAGAAATGAAATAAATAAATAATAAATATGTCAAATAAACAACAACGATTATAAAAATAACTTACGATGAGCTAAACAGGACTAGATGTGTACAATAGACTAGAGGACTGACTAGACTGTTCTGTAGGTTCGACACTGTTCGGCTGGCGGCTGTCACACATCACTTGTCGATTCAGGCAGGTTTGCCCGGGCTTTACACTAAGGAACTCAACACATGGCACGAGATGCAGCAACCTGTCTAGAGCGGAAATATTCTGTCACTGTACCAAGTGAATGGAATAGACTGCTTCATGTACTAGACGTAGCAATATCCCCGGGATGAAACATCTTTCACTAGATATTGGTAAATATCTAGAACAGAAGAGAAAAATTTGCTAGATCTAGGGATGTATCTAGAACGAACCAAATTCGCTGCATCTACAGACAGGCTTTATCTACAACGCGGAAAACACAATTTACTAGATCTACAGAAGCTTACAGAACGGAATGACACCTCACCTCTCTAGAGCAGTCCGAGACGCCAAAAGGGGGGCGGGGGCGGTGGCCACGGGGGGGCCAGGATCAGCGGGTGTCAGTTGGCGGCTGGCACGACGACGTGATGCGCAGTGTGAAGCATCGCGGCGGCGGTGGCAGCGTCCTGCTGGTGGCTGGCCAAGTGCTTCCTCAGGTAGGCCTGGCGCCGAAACCGCTTCTGGCACGCTGGACACGGGAACTGTGGGTCTTCTCCCCCCTCTGCAGTATCACGCTTGACCAGGTCGAGCCCGACCTGCTCGTCCTGCTCCCTGCCGGGTCGCGGCTTGTGCCAGCGTCGGTGGCTCGCTAGGTTGGCCGGGCAGTTGAACACCTTGTCGCACTCCGGACAGCGGTACTCCACGTGCACGATGCGAGAGCAGCGGTGCTGCGCCAGGCTGAAGGCGTCCTCGTATAGCTCGCGACACAGGCGGCAGATGTAGGCGCCAATACGGTTCTCTATCTTGGCCAGTTCCGCCTTGGCCTCCTCCGTCACCTCCACAACGTTGAACGCGGGGTCGATGTCGCCTTTCCGGACCACAAGGGGCGCCTCGTCCGCCCCCAGCTCCCGTATGATGGTGCCTGATACCGGTGATGTCTTGTCCTCATCGAAGTTGAGCCTGCGCACCGCCTTGTTCTTCTTGGGGACGGTTTTGGTCTTGGGGGTGGGTGACTCGGGGGCGGTGGGCCGCTTCCTGACGGGGGAGGCCGGTGAGGGGGTGGACGGCGGAGTTATGGGGGTGGCGGACTTGAGGGAGAGGTCCAAGGGCGGTGGGGTGCTGGAGAACAGGTGATACTGGGGCTCCTCGAAGCCGCCGTCGCCGTAGTGCCTCTTCACCAGAAAACCTCGCGGCATCACGACTCAACCTCGTCTGATCCAGGCCCGCCTGCGTGCGGCCAATAGAGCGGTCAGCCCCGCCTCCTGCAGCAACGCGCATGTGCGAGGGAGGAGCCACTCGCCCTATCATTGGCCACTCGTTATACGTCACCGACCTATCGGCTACGCTGAATGCCATCAATTAGGTTCGCGGGTGTCAATTATGGAGAGAGGAGGGGATGTTTGTGACCAGAAACACTCGGGTTGCACTGATGCAGATATCAGGGGGCCCACTGAATGCGTTTCATCTCAAGCGTCTAGTAATTCTGCCCCTTTAGGTAGGTCTCATAATTTAAGACTGAGGAAAATCGCGAAAATCTGGAAGCTGCTTAACTTATCGGCAATAATTCGGTCCCTACTTCCAAGGAAACACATGAAACCCCTCAAGAAAGCAGCTGCTTAGTGACCGAGATGTCAGCCAGCAAGTTCTGGGGGATGGGGGGTGGGGGTGGCTGATGCGCAGAATGAGACAGGGCGAAGCTGCCCGGTTCCATGACACGAACAACTTGCAAAAATAAAATCTCGGGCTCATATAGACATAAACATTGCTCCCTTTCCATGTTCAGAATTACTGTAAAACGTACCGGCAGGCCTAATAGAAAAAAAAAAGTCAGGAGGGTTGACATCACAAACTGCTGCAAAGAATCGCTTTCCGAGGAGGATAGGCAGGCTACCTGGGGCTTAATTACGGCAACTCCCGTCACTGCGCGTACAAACTTGCGTGACCACGGAGCAAAGTCCTTATTCAGAAGCTGATGGTCGCTTAGCTGTTCAAGAAATTTCCATTGTGTACAGAGAGTTCACAGGAACTCGCCGCTGGACCTTCCTGAGCCAGCTGAATCCATTCCACTTTCCAACTCCCATATCTTCGCAATGCTTCACTTCAGAAGGTTCCTGTCCATTTGCAATCAAATATACGGGTTCCTGCAAAGTTCTGACGAAAACTTCCGAGTGTATTCACATCTCCCACACGTGCTGCATGACCAGCTCTCATACCCCAATATTAGCGATATTTTATATGAAGTTCCTCGCTGAGGAACTACCTCCTGCAGGGCCGAATACTCAATCTGTTTTCACACACGGGAGAGTTCTGCAACGTCATTATGTCGAGCTGAAATGTTAAAAGATCAGAGCAGAGGGAATGAAATGGACAGTCGCAAGAGACCACGGACGCCTCGCGTCTGGCACGGCGCGTTTCAGCTTCTCCAAGAACATATCGCCACCGCTTGAACTTACCGACGGGCAAACCTGGACAAATGCGGACAATTGGCGGTCTTGTAGAAGCTGTGGGAGCAAGGAAATAACACCCGTTTCCTGAATTAGGCCACAACTAGGCCTATTTGCCTAAAATCATCTTTGCTTCTCAGGACCAGATAAGTAACTCCTTCGCGTGATTTACCAGCATTTCAGAATTTACTTATTATGCGGTGGGCAACCTACAGCAGATGTTCAATTTGCAGAAATCTTTTAAATTCCGACCTATACTTAGGCCAATATAAAATATGACCGTAAAATTTAAAAATTCGCTTAGTGGGGGGTGGAGTTCAACTGGGTTCACTCGGCACGGCGGCCACTGATTGGCCTATTGTAGCCTGCTCCAGGTGATTATGATGATGGAGAATTTGGTGGAATGAAGATTGGCTGAGGAAACCGAAGTACTCGGAGAAAACCCGCCCCAGCGCCACTTTGTCCACCATAAATCCTACTTGACCAGACAGGGGATCGAACCCGGCCGCCGCGGTGGGAAGCCAGCGACCAACCGCTTGAGGTATGGCGCGACCTAAATAGGACCGTAACTCTTCAGTCCCGTATTTCCTGTTGCGGACGTATTAGAGAACACCCAACAGCGTCGTCACGTGAGTGAGTGACTATAGACGATGTTTCGATTGGAAATAGAATTTATTGAATAGCTACAGAAAGTAACTCCAAATAACTACGATAGTTTTATTGAGTTACAAGAACTCCAAAGATCACTGTAACTACGGCATTCATAGAGCCTTCTAAGTCTTCTCTAGCGGTTGTTTGGTAGCGGCTTCCAACAGCAGACATTCCCCTTCCTCTGTTTTTCCGAACTGTCCCCGGCCTCAGCTAAAGCTTCTCTGATTCTGAGTCTTATAATATGACCGACGATCAGTCGGCCAGTCTGTCTTGGAATAAAGCACCCACTTGCGACTTACGACCACATTTTTATCACTGTCAGACAGTTGCAGGTTGTTTATGTGGGACGCTCTCTCGAACGAGAGGACGGGTCTGTAGTCACCGGACAGGAGGCTGCGTGGTTCCCAGGCGCAGTGTGGGTGCCATGGAGGGGACACAATCCTCTGCCATGACCGCTGATGCGAACACTGGTGTCCAACACAGACAAAACCCGAACCTGAACAGTGGGCGCACTTAGGATGGAGGAGAGTGAGCAGTTTCACGCTCCGGCCGCTTTACCGCGCATGGGATACTCCAGATAGAGCTACAATGCACGAACCTCACATAATGCGACGCTGCAGAGAGAAATCGTGCAACTGCTGGCAATCAAACCCCGATCAACCAGACCGTAGTCAACCTCTTTACGACAGCAGCAGACTGCATCTCCACCGGAAACGGGGCCACTGACCGGCAGGAGTACACAATTCCAGCATGCCTGGAGTTCTAACCCCGTGACACCTATACACCCTCGTGCTGCCGTGCGTCAATAATCGACAGGCCAGTGTAAGGCCCAGAGCTCTTTCTTCTGGCCTACTGGGCTACTCGGCCTAAACGTAGGCAGGTCTCCCCGGTGCCAATCTTTCAGCACAGATGTTGCCTTGCAATCGGCTTTCCCGGCAGGTGGTTTCAGCTGGCACAGGGAAGGCCTGGGCAGTGGCTTTTAAGGCAAAGAGCTTGGTATCTTAATGCAACTAGGCCAGTCACTGCAGATGAGCAATAACAGAACTTCATAACCTCCGTCTCATTGTGAGATCCGCTTTCTACTTGTCTCATTCATCCAGGAAACTCCATGAACGAAGTACGCTTATCACGTTCACTGGGAGCAAAGGAGCTACGGGCCCGATTAGCCCCAGCTGGGCTACCTTTCTAGTAGCAGAACGCAAAGAGTCCAAAACCGCTAATGCCGAAGACCACCAACTGGACACCATCCGAAGTCTCTTCCGTCCATCCCCCTTAGATTCATCTTAATGTTATCTCCCTCCTCCATCTCAATCTTCTCGGCGAAATTCTGTAGGAATTCTACCCTCCTTATATGGCACTATAAATTGCTCACTTGCTGCGTCCTCTCTTCTACGCAGAAGCTCGCCAGGTAAACCTGTAGCCTATAATGAGCCACGTTTCTGACTCAAACTGCCCAGTCATCGTCACGGAGCACAGGCATTCCTAAGAAAACGACATTCAGCTAGTCGAGAAATTCACTGCTTTGAGACGCATTACCCCCTTCACAAGACATCATCGTCACTCGTCCCTATCCCGAGTAACAACAATCCAGTCCACACCCCATTTCTTCAGGATCCCTTTTAATAGTGTCATGTGTATGAGTCACTATAGACGGGGTTCGGATTGGTAATTGTATTTACTGGACTCTTATACAACTCGTTATTAAACTTTATAAATCATTATCACACAGAATAGTGTCCACAGTCACGTCTTCACTAGCCGTTGCTCGGTAGAAGCTACCAACGACGGACATTCTTTTGCTCTGAGTTACAAAGCTTTCCTCGCGCAGCAGCTACCGGCTTTTCACAGCAACGGCTCGCAAGGACTGAACCGCAGCGGTCCTCTAACTCACACACCAATGAACTACTCCTCACTTCACTCAACTCAAATTGCTCCATTCCACTGTACTACTTAGGTAGCCGCGGCACGGGCCATACAGAAATCACAATTTTTCTATTGTTGCGCGCGTGTATACTGCGGCCATTACCTAGTAACGGCCGCTGTTTACAGAGTCAGAACTTAGCAATGAGTCTACGTGCTACAATATTGTCCTCCCCCTCTATGCATAATATACACGTCACCCACATGACCTCCCTTCAAGGCTTCTCTACTAAGTTTCCGTATACGCTTCCGTCTCATGCGTTCTACATCCTCCGCCGATCTCATCCTCTTTTGCTTTACAAGTCCTGATTACATTTGGACATGAGTACAAATTATGAAGTTCCTCAGTACATAATCTTCACCATTTCTTTGTCACTCCCTCTCCCTTCGGTCCGAATGCTCTCTTCAGCACCCTGTTCTCAAACACCCTCAGTCTACATTCTTCCCTTAATATCAGAGACCAAGTTTCACACCCATACAAAAGTACAGTATGACTAAAGTTTCGTGCATTTTAATCTCTACGTTCTTAGATAGCAGGTGGGCAGGCGAATGGTTCTGGGCCCAACGGCAGCAAGCATTCTGATCTTGTTTCCTTTTGAGCGGAACTGTGAACTGTGTTCTCATGTCCGTCGCCCAAGCGAACCAGCGGGCGTACTTATGTGAAGGTGTGAAATCGCCTGAGGGGCATTTCCAACAGGCCTACAGGGAATCGTGATTTTCGTAGTATCGCCTTCCTCGGCAGGTAAAAGTCTCTAAATAAGCACAGGCAAACCTTAGCCCATTCATTCATCAGACTCTGCAGCCCCTTGTAGGGCCCTGGCAATGTTTTCAGCTTCGTAATCCTATATATAGTCGGTAGGACCTCTTGGACGGGGGATCAGCCAGTTGCAAGACCGCTACTTACACACAGGGCAGCACAAGCACAGAGTAAAAGCACACAAACATGCCTCGAAAGGGATTCGAATCCACGACCATAGCGTTCGAGCGGGCAAAGGTAGTTCATGTATTAGGCAGGTCTCCGTTAGTCTGTGACAGGCAGCAAGCAGTAAGACGGCGGTTAGATCAAAAAGCCTAAAATTCTCAGTTTCTCACTTATTCCACACCCGGTACCGAGCTCTCGTATTGTAAAAAAAAAAAAAGAATTTACCGGGCCGCGGTCTCGCAACGGTTGAGAATCACTG